TCATTTACATAATTCAATGCTCACAGTCTTCAAATTTGTAAGATATTTTTCCTTGGCACCTTTACCCATGTGTTATAAAAATTTCAGTTTCGCAGAAATAATATCAATGTTGATAAAATGTGAATTTTTACACAGCATCCTTTTAAGAGCTACATTTTTACAGGTTTGTTATATAAAACTGCTCTGTGAATATAAATGTATTTCAATTACACGAACATTATACATGAAGTACGTCAGAACTTAATCTTTTTTAATATTGTGAAGAAAAAAGCAATACCAAGTTTAAAACAAATATTTAATGACCAAACATAAAACCAGTGGTATATGTGAGAGTTTGTGTGCGTAAGAGTTATCTGGTAGGTAAATGAGGTTTTCCTTTTATTAAAAAAAAACCCCTCATTTTGTTGTTTTTACGAAAACATCAGTGTCCGTTTTTTGGTTTTAACATTTATAACAGAGTTCTAGATTTACCGCTTTTGGCAGGTGATACTGCTGATTTAGAAATAAATACGCATGTTTCCTTAAGTTTTTATGCATTAATGAATTCATGTAAACCAAGAAAATGTTTATGAAAAGTTTGAATAAATTCTGTGCACCGGTAAAAAAGAAATTGCTAAAAATCCGGGACCGTCGGGCGTCGTCCAGATTTAACGCTTGCCGTTAGTATGTAGAGTTGTCGATCGTATCTTTTTCAGTGTATGACGCCACACAAAAAAATGAGTTCCATTACGGAAAACTTTTGAGGTTCTTTACAATTTAGTTTTACTTTGAACGAAATCTAATATTCAAAATAAGATTACTTTATCATTATTACATTTACTAACATTTCAAATAATGAAAATTAGATCAATTCAGGAGAAAATGACAGGAACTATTTGTGGCGGATGTATATGCATGTTTTCTGTTGAATATCATCGGTGTAAATCAGCTGACACAGTAGCCTCGCTTTCGGCTCTATATAATCAACACAAATTACTGCGCATGTTAAATACGTGATGACCATGGGAGATTGAACATAGTTCAACTCCCAAAAATCTCGATAACTAAAGGTTGCAATTTTAATCGTCCTTTGATTAGAAAATCAAATCTTGATGATAAGTCCTGCCTACATGTAGATGCACCGTTAAAAAATTAAAATGCCATTTTGAAAACGTAGCTAATGCAAAATACTTTGTTATATGTCTTGTATATTCCATTCAGAATTGTAAAAAAGTACTTTCTTTCTTGAGCCGCTGGTGCACTTTATTAAATAAGCCAAGTATCAATTTGTGTGGTTTACATACCAATAAAACCCACAAGTCATAAAATAATTTTTGACAAGAGAGGTAATTTACAGTCAAAAAACCCGTGCATATCATTCAAATTGTTTTCCTTGAATTTTTGGCAAATGCAAAGAGGGTAAACTGCTGTATATTTCATATTTTGATTAAAGAAATTTCTTCTTTTATACAGGATATCCGTCATGCCCGACATGCGAGAATGTTATAAACGGTAAGCCTTTGACATTTGATTTCCTCTTACTCTATATAGTTACATCATCAGTCAAGTCAGCAGATTTTTAATTGGGGGGGGGGGGTATTTCATTTAACCGCCAACGTATTACGCCTTTTCTGATAAAAATAAATGTTGCTTTGGAATTTACCTTAATTCTTTGGGATCAATGTTTTTACTTCTTTAGATCACCAGAATCCTTGCATGGTCTACAGTAGTTTGCTGTTATCCTAGTTTGAGTTTATTAGACATTCTGATGTAAAATGACAGAAATAAAGAATAGAAAATTAAACATTTTTTTAAAAAAAATGCTTACGAAGATAAACACCCAGTGGTCAAGGTGTGTGAATGACACATGCATGCAGTGCATGCAAATGACATGTTAATCTTTCTGATGATTTTTGAAAGCAAAGCCTTAATTCTTAATTAATTGAAAACAAAACCGAAGAACAGAACAGAAGATGGAAATGCTTTATGAGAAATGAGAGAAAAAATGCTTTAATGTATTTTTTTCTCGGGCACAAATATTCACAGTCAAAATGGGCCTGAAAATATTAAACAAATAATGATGATTTGTATATATCAGATATTGAGCCAACTAATTATTAATGGTGAATTAATTGAAATGTCAAAAAATGGTGTTCTTTTAAGAGGAAAAAAATAATTTTATTACAGAGTTTACAAAATTTCAGAGCAACATTAGTACGTTGCTGATGAACCATTACTATCATGTGACAAGTCATATCACGGAAACATTTTCAAGTAAGTATAACGATATATTAAGTAAACAACATTTATATTTTAAATTATGGTATCTTCATATATAAAAAATCCAAATGTTGATTGCAAAGTTGAAATAATCTTTGCAAAATATGTAGACAGTGACATATTCTCTAATGAGTTTCAACAATATAAACAAAACTCTCATATTAACATATCTTCTTTGAAATTCTATACAAAAGTGAAAGGAAACTTTTAATACTTCAGATGGATCGATATGTTGTATGATGTTTTACCGTAAAGTTTATTTAAAGACATCTATACTTTAGGATGATGAAAAATGCTAAACAATACACACATCGAAGAAAAGAAATCTAGTAAATACCGAATGTAAATCACTTTTATGGCACACCATATTCACAAAAATGAGCCAAACATAGAAACTAGGTTTATCGGTTGTAAGATTTAGTTTACGGACTGTAAACAATAGTTATCAACGTTAATCTATATTTTACATTTGTCTCGAAAACCATAGTTAACGCGATAATCTATGTTTCAGAACCATAAACTATACTGTTAAGCTTCATTATTTGTTGATTATACTTTACAACTCTTAACTATAGCTAACGATCTGATAAATATTGTTTCACAATTTGTGAAACTATGATTAATGACTCTTAACTATAGTTCACGGTCGTAATTTATAGTTTAGAGGACGTGAATCCGTTTATCAACAAAGTATAAAGTTAATGTTTTATTTTCGCGGGTATGTTAAGGAAGCATATAAGTCATTTTTCGGGAAATTCAGACTTTTTGAAGAAAATTTAGTTTGATAATTTACAAAAACCGCTGATAAGCGTAAACTTTTAATATTTATTGAATAAAGATAAAAGAGTGTCTAACGCAACGACGTGCAGCACCACCACGGCATCACGTGACTTCTATTTATAGCCAAATTTTCCTTAATAAAAAAGCGACCAGAACAACAATACCCCGGAGTTTAATAATTTCTTTGAGTAAATAATGTAGTTGAAAAACATCTATTTTGCCTAAAAAGTGCTGCTAGAATCCCACTGTCCCGTCAGTAAAATAATTATTCCACATATTCGCACGAAACCTTACCCTATGTTTTGAATTTTTTAACTATGAACCGAGATTTTTCGTAAAACCATGCTTAACTCGGGATTCTAGCAGCACTTTCCAAGTATTTTAGGATGCAAACTTTCCATCTGTACAAATCTTATGTTTTGAAATAAACAGCTTATTGTTGTTCTGTTGCATTATTTTTGTCACAATTGACAGAGGAAAGGCCGACCGGGATACGTATATAGCTGACTGTCTTCGAAAGAGAATATAATCGATAAATATAAATTAGCATACCTGTTTTATTAATTGAACTCCATATGAATTTCACAAAATAATCACGATATTTGCTTTTAAACTATATTTTACGTATCTTTGTTCATGCCGTCATAGCCAAATTCTCTTTACACGACATGATCAATTCCCGATCAATTCCCAAGTTACTTGATGTACACATATGACGTCATCGATGGTAGATTGTAATCAAATTGACAGAATACATCATAACGAAATAAGAACATTTTATTTTTGTTAATTTTTACATGTATCTAATCATTTTCTAGAGTTAAATTACATCTCTAAAAACCAATATACAAAAAACTTGTGTTCTAAAATTGACGTCATCTCGCCTACTATGACGTCATAATGTAGCACTGATTTAGTCAAGGTAGAATATTTTGTATGCTTCCTTATTCCCCCTGCGTTATTATTTTTCGTTAATGTTCCAACTATCTGATTGGCTCAAACAGAAACACATGATCACGTATAAAAAGTGTTAGAGACTGGATGTTTCTATCTTAAAAATTTATAAACCTGCTGTTTCTAAAATTGGAAAGGTTGTTCTTTGAAGCAACAATAATGCTGACGTCAGAATGAATAGTTTTTATAAATAGGATGTTTCTAAAAACAGATACTGCAGATGGTTTTCATTACTGTGACGTCATAAAGCAAATGAAATAACAATGCCTTGTATGAGAAGCTACGGAGTATTAGAAAGAAGGATTTTAAGACATTTCTAATTAACTGATAATAAACAACAAAACAATTGTAGCCTTTTGATTCGTAACAATCCCTCGATATATAGATTTAAGAGAAATCATATCGACCTCGCACTTCGTGCTCGGTCGATATCCATTTCTCTAAGATCTATATTTCGAAGGATTGACCTCATCAAAAGGCTATAATTGTATAATATTACAGACAGATAAACTTAGATTAGCGTCCGTAAACTATCGTTAACAACCGTTAAATAAAGTATTGGAGATGAAAACTATAGTTAACAAATTGTTAACTATAATTCAAGATTTGTAAACTATATTTTACAGTCTATAAACCTAGTTTATCAACTGTGAAACTATGTTTAGTTCATTTTTGTGAATTTGGCGTGTCAAACACTTTTGTTCAACAGAACTTAATTTTTGCATAATTACGAAAGACAGTCTTCTCGCAAAATATTTCATTCTTGCGAATATTAGAATTATATCATACATTTATTGTTAGACCTCTTCAAGCATAGATTTGCATAGTAAAATGTATTTAAAGGTATTAACAAACAATTTTATTATATTACATCTCATAGAAAAATAACCGAAATCTATAAAAATGTTGTCTAGGTAATATTTTTATCAAAAAGACCAACAACTTTAGACTTTATAACAATACTTCTTTTTTTAAAAAATGTACACTTGTATTTCTCTGCTTTACAGATATCACTGAATGCGAGGAAAGCCCACAGTGCTACAATGGAACTTTGTTTCGGAATACCAATGGATTTTATGAATGTCAGTGCTTTGAAGGTTGGAGAGGACCCAATTGTGGCGAAGGTAAATATTTTAAGATAGAAACGGCTCTTTGTCTTCTAATCATCACTTCTTAATGATAAAGATAATACCTAGTCTATCCTAATAGTTTTTATTCGTGGTCAAATCAATGTTTAATGATCTTTTGGAAGTAATTTAGTGAGTAATTTGTATGAGCAAAAGATTCTATACGACGACACATTGACAAAGTTATTTAACGTAAAGATGTAAATTCGTGGGTAAGTGTTTATAAGTCAATAAAATACCTGACCCCCCCCCCCCCCCACCCCTCCTCCATAAATGATGATTACACAACACACATTACCTTCATTTAATAAAAAATTAACACTCCATCAAGATGTCATACAACTCTTACTGTCATCTAGATTTAATAAATAATCAATCATTATCAATTTCAAGTATTTATGCGCGGAATCTTGACAGGAATGTTTCGTTTTAATTTCTTATTGTTCTTAATTCTTTCCAAATTTGATGTGCTTGAAAGAACTAATTTGTTTCAATATTTAACTCTTCAAGAGAATATACATGTACCTGATCATTTAATCACTTCAAAAATTTGTGGTTGATGTCGATTTTATCAATTTTTTAATTAAGTGTATTATTAATTTAATGTTATGTTTTCATTACTAATCAGGGATATTTACAGATATAGACGAATGCAATGCGAAAGCAGATCCTGTATGTCAGAACAATGGGTCCTGTACAAATACTAATGGTTCCTTTTCCTGTGACTGCAAAGATGGTTGGGATGGACCGATTTGTATTGAAGGTGCCTTTTTTGCTCTCTTTTTTGAAAAATAAGATGTATGGTATAACGTAGAAACCATTATAAATTATATATAAGATAATCACAATCTGTTTCTAATTGTTTTGTATATTTGATATAGATATAAATGAATGTGCAGAAAACCCATGCAATGACACATCGATTTGTATTAATACATATGGCTCCTATATCTGCCACTGCAATGTTTCTATTTGTCGAGAGCCCTGTGAAATAGGTATCAATTGAACTTCTTTTTCAAGCTATTCAGAAAGTTAAATTTTTTTTTTTTGATTTTTTTTATACGACATTTATGCATTTATAAGTAATATCGAAATCTTACATTGCAGACCATTCCGTTCAGTCCTATCTCGATAACGTGGAATACTGGAACAATCCTGAAAATCAAAGACGACAGCTGGAGACTTTAAATGAAACCATCACAGAAATCAAGAAAAACTTAACGTTGGACAAAACCCGTCTGCAATCTTCGATTAACAAACGTATAAGCGCCGACGATCCACGTCTCTCAGCAGCTGTGGCAGGATACATTGGAGCTTTATTTATATCAATTGTCATTGGCTTTTTTCTGATGCTGGACTGCATTGGATTGTGTTTGAAATCAAACTAATGTTACTAAGTCTTAACTACTATAGTAAATCTTAAATCTGGGGTCACTGTTACAAAAGAACTTTCGATTAAGACCAAAAATTGATTGTAAACTCTTACCAAATAAATAACTGTTTGAAAAATACCAAATTCAATTAAAAATAAATCTTTGATTCGCAACAAATAGATCACTACACTTTCTGCGGATCAAAGATTAAAAAAAAACACCGGGCATAAATATATCTTCACGTTTTTTTTTAAGTTTCAATTGTATGTAGGAAAAGGAAAGTTATTCCGAAAGTTACATTTTGGTACTGTCTAAGTCATTAGTACTTTTGGAGAAAGGAGTCCTTATCTGCAAAGGACTTGTCCCATTTTCTGAAAGAAATCTGTAGTTTTATCTAAAATATTATCTACAACCTTGTTTATTTAAATACTGAATAAAGTAAAGGTTGTTCTAACTTCTTTGTATGTTTAAAGAGAAAATTTAGGAATCAATTTAAGTTGAGTAGCAATTTAAATAGCAAGAAGTTATATGCAAATTTTTAAATTGACACTACAAAGCCTAAATAAAATCAAAATTATTGAAGATTTTCATATTCATGATAATATTTACAAATTATGAAACTGATAGACCTAGTCCTTTTGTTTCCAACAAAAAATGACATCAAAACAAAGTTTGTTGGTGAGGGGAGATCAAATACACATTGATTGATCGAGTGTTGTTTATCGTCCTATTCAAGAATTTTCCACTCATACAGAGACGTCACCGTATGCCGGTGAAGGCCCTTAAATTAAGACCTATACTAGGCACTGTGGGCCATTTGGGGTTCTTTATCGGGTCAACGCCTACCATTACACCGGACCTACGTTTTTAAGGTCATATCCGAAAGATCCGTGACTTTCACTTCTAGTGCCGAGCGCTTGGCGAAGGAACAGTCACTACCGATTTTTACGTCTTAGGTTTGACGCGACAATCGTCATATTTTTTTATTCGTAATTGTATATATTTCTAAACGTAGTTTTTTGCTGTTGGTTTTTAAACGACGTCTGTCCTGTAAGCGTTCAATATCGCATCATTCCGACGACCCTACCGAGCAATATGATCTGCTTATTTAAGTTTTAATGGGCCCAATACGTACTAAATTTTTTATTAAATTGTTTCATTTTGTGTGTGAAAAAACACATCTTACCTAAATGATACTTCATTTCGTTAATTTAGCTTTGAGAATTTGACCGGACGACTATTTTTTTGTTTACAACGGGCCGTTCGATAGTGAAAGTCTCACACAAGGAAATAGTTTCACTATATGTTACTATATAGCTTTGATTAAATTAATTAATCAACTGGACGCTCAACAGATAATTCATGAAATAGAAAATAAAGATTACTGCTTAGACAAAATTTGAAATTATGCGTCTTTTAAGAAAGAAAATTGTAAGTAAACATGCCTACCCCGAAAAACACGTGGGTTTTAGATGCTAACAAACAGCCTACACACCATTCAGGAAGCTGCATCACGCGCACCTTTAATTAAGGTCTCAAACAAGGAAACATTTTCACTATATATTACTATATACATGTAGCTTGAATTAAATTATTTAATTGATTAGACTCTCAGCAGAAAATTCATGAAAGAGAAAAAAAAAGATAAAATTAATGCTTTAAAAAATTTTGAGATCAGAACAATCTGCTTTATGCGGCTTTTAAGAAAGAAAATTGACAGTAAACTTACCTACCCCGAAATGCACGTGGGATTCACATGTTGACAAACAGCCTACACACCATCCAGGCAGTTGCATCATGTGCACCTGAAAAAAGAGTTCCTTTTAATTCAGTGGGATAATTCTGCTAAGGATATGATATTCCTAGTACATGAGTCCAAATTTAATACTGTAGGCCTAACACAAATTGCCAAAAATGAAAAAAGAAAAAGAAAATTGTCTCTATATATATGGACCTTTAATTGTCTAAGTTCATTTTGATTGGCTATTTCCTTGCGTAAGACCTTAAAAAGAGTTCCATTTAATTCAGTGGCACAACTCTGCTAAAGATATGATATTCCTAGTACATGAGTCCAAAATTAAAACTGTAGACCTAAGAAATGTTGCCGAAAATGAAAAAAGAAAAACGAAATTTTCTTTATGTATATTGAACTTCCTTTGACTAAGTTCATTTTGATTCTACTACCTTGCGTAAGACCTTGAACGCTCGTATTCGGAATGTTCGAACATACTCGTATACGTAATACAATGTCAGCGTTCAATAAAACGTCAAAATATTGAACGCTAAATTTCTCTAGATTTTTTTAGGTATTTTATTAAAGACTATTTATAAGCTATATTATAAGTATTAATATAGATGGATTGTACATGAATAAGATAAAATCATATGTTCTGTGTAAATTTTATAGAATCTATTTGCTTTTTATTAAGTCACATGCTGTAATTGTTTTGTACAGATTGCTTTTGAATTTTGAAATTATCTAATCTGTTTTCTTTCTTACATGTAAGACCATTTTATGTACAAGTTTTTTAGTATCACGAATAAAAAGGCAAACTCCTTTTTTTTTTTTTTTTGAAAAATGGTGGTCAAAAATGGGAAAACCATAGAGTCAGTTCGATTTTTTTTTTCTTTTTGAAAATTAGCGACATTGTGTTTCACGAATGAAATATATTCTTCAAGTAGAATTTCAGTGACACGCTGAACATCAAGATTATTTAGTAAAATTATGTATTGATAATACAGAAATGTGTTGAACAATAGGAATACTATCTTAATGTCAAAGTGTGCAAACAAACAGTTAAACAAAATAAGTAAATAAAGTGCAAAGAACAAATATGCAAAGAAAAATACAAACATATGAAAAGAGTAGAATTAAAAGATAAATTTCAATCAAGCAACAACACTGAGTAAAGAATGAAAATAGGTGCAAAGACAAATATCCGAGGAAAAATACAACATATTCATGGAACATGGAAATGCTGACTTGAAGAAAATATAAATATAAGAAATATCAGGATTTATTTTTTACTGAATTACGAAATATAATCAAAATCTGAGGTCAGTCTGAGGTCATTGAAGATCAATATCTGGTATGCCCCCCACAGACGCAAATGATGGCCAGACTAATGGAAGCAAAATGTGTTTAATATAAACTGTATATGAATACTCTCCCACTCCATTGTAGATATTTGGTCAGCTGTTGCAGAGTCTGGGAATGCGATTCTCTTTGGAAAAACCTGTCAATCCATTTTGTGCAATGCTGCCGAATTTGGTTTTATATTTGGCGATTTTGAATAGACAATGACATGTACAAGTAGAAGATCGCTAGAGTATTTTTATCTATCAAAGTCCTTTGAATACGAAAAAATCAGTGTTTCATATTTAAAACGGAATAAAAATGGGTCTAAAGAAAGAACATTTTCAACCATTGCTGATTCTAAAGAGGCAATACTGTCAAATTCTAGCAACAAAAAGACTTTTTACTTTTATGAATATTCGCTTGGAAGCACATAAGAGGTTGATAATATTTGAAATTTGATTTAATGTAGAAGTTATTAAAAATTACAATTGAGAATACTTTAGTTAAGTAGATAAAAAGTAACTTGCTCAATGTGTCGTCTAAATTACGAGTTACGTTTTTCCGTTGATGTATCTGTATAATTTAAAAAAGTTACGGACAATTTCTATTCATTGTTTACGATCAATTCAGAAAAAGAATGCATTAAATATCCTGTATCGAAAGACATGGTCTACTTCCAAGCTTTTTGCCTTTTTTAGTGTAAAAATGACTGTGAATAGAGAGTAAAAATTCTCATCTCTTACTGATTTTTATCCTCAAAACTGTTATAAGTTATGTCAAAATTTGTTCATTCAATATATCCTCCGACTTTTAAACTTGAAATCAATTAAAGGGTTAGATGTTGAGCTCTAGAATTACACCCGATACATGTAAAGGTCCTAAATCAATGCACGTTTAGTACCCATCATTTTGTTTTCTAAACAAATATAATGAACATATACATTTAATAAATTATTTTCCTCCTTTTATATATAAAATTATGCAAACTTTATAAAGTTTTCTAACATCAATGATTGCATATCAACAGCACTTGCTACATATGTAGGTCACATGACATAGCACACCGAAACAGTGATAAGGTTTTGGCCTGGGGGCCATAAAAGTAAGACAAGCTCACTTTTGATCTCAGTCTCACTTCTCCACTTTATATTCCTAAGAGAAAAAGTGAGACTGAGATCAAAAGTAAGCTCGTCTAAGTTTTATGGCCCCCAGGCCTGGAGAGACCTTGCTGATGGCGGAATAATTGAGATAAAGGAACAGTTGAACTTCAACCTCAATCTTTTTGAAGCAAAAAAAAAAATAATCAAGGAAAAGGTTTTTAAGGAAACCATATATGTATTATAAAATAAATTGTAACCATTTAAATTTAAGATTTATTAATCTGTTATACGTAATTGCTACATGACTCTAAAATGAAATTTAAAAAAACAATTATACATTTTCATTGTGTTTCATAAGATCTACGTGTATTATTGAATATGTTAATGAAAGAATACACCATATACATGCACAAAGAACCCGTGGTGACTGTTCATCGTCTATTTACTGTCTGTAACTAACGTTCATATTTAGGTTATGTTATTCGAAATGGACGTATCACTTACCATTTAATTACATGCTTGTTGACATATGAAATCCAAACCGTTATAAAAATTAACTTCACAAACATGCACGAAATATTGCCACACTGTAATCTGCAGGTATATTCTTACTTTGATATCGAAGGAATCTTTACTAAATACAATGTTTTTGATAATGAAGAAATGCAAATTTGCCTACATCTTAACCTAAATTAGAAAATATATATACATTTTCATATTTTTTTTTATATCATGAAAGGTACGTACCCTTTTGGAAAATCAAACACAATGAAGTTATACCTGATTGTCTTCTTCTTTGAAGTATTTCTCGTCTTAGGAGACACGCAAAAACCAAA